AATCATGAAAAAATGAGATCCTAAGAAAAATGAAGAGAATATTAACTAGACAAAGACAAATTTATGGCATGTATCACAGACAAGCAATTACATTTCATCCTAAGAACAGTTTCTAAAAGCAAACACATGAACATTATCTTTAAATGGGATTTGGAAAAACATAAACTGTGGCAATAAAGAAAGAACAAGCAGAAAAAACAATAGTGCGAATGTAATTTAAAAATGCTCAACTTTCTATGGTAAGAAAGAATAATACTAAAAATAAAAACTAACATTTACTAAAATCACATATCACTTATCATTATGTTCAAGAATTTCATTGTAAAGAATTATTCCAAATATAAAATGTGAAATATGTAAAAGACACACTGTTTATGGCTTGTGTCTAGATGTCTGCTCAAACCCTCTTGCAGTCGTAGGCGGGGCTTTTTCAGAGGTGGCTGAATCTAAATGTGTGATTAATTCATGGTGCAATGCTAGGATTAGGAGCACTAAGATTAAGAGTGCATGATTACTACATCAGTCCACTGATTGGTTTGACAACACTTTACACCCAGTAGCCTAGACAGAGTATAAAAGGAGAAGAAGAAAGCTGCTAAGGCCCCTTGATTGCTTGCTTCCTTCGCTACCTTATGCCTACTATGAACCATTTCTCCTTTGCAATTCCCCTCTGCCATGCCACTTTGCCTTGGATCCAGCTGATTATGGAGTGAAACCTCTACAAACTTGAGCCACTTTAATTTTTCTTTCTCTAACCTTGGTGTAAGGTATTTTGTCTAAGCAGCAACCACAACAACAAAAAACTAAGACATTGCACAGAGTTTCTTATTGAAAGACTATGGTTTTATAGGAAATGTAGAAACCATCCTAAATGGTTAGCTCACAGGGAGTTGATTAACCACAAACATGAATTCTGCACCCAAAAAAGATTAATGACAAATATTTTTAAATTCTTTAATATGTGATTATATTGGTCTATGCTTTAAAAAACAAATCATCTTTTATTAATGACAAGTTATTCAAAATTGTGCCATTGAATATTGGAAGTTGACTAAAATTAATAAATTATTACTAATTATTATATATACAATGAAGGTACTTTGTTTATTTTTAATAGTTATTAAATATAGAGATATATATTGAAATATTTGTAATTTAAATTATATATTTGGGACGTGCTACAAGTAAGAATGAAATGGTAGGATATAAAAAAACACTGATGAATGGCTATTATTAACTTTTTTTAGCCATATATTTTAAGTTTGAATATTATGTTTTCTGTACTCTTGGTTGCTCAGAAATCTTAACATAGAGATTTTTTCCTTGTGTCTTAAAAATTTGAAATTCGTAGAATTATTTAAAAACTGTCAACAGAATAATTCACCTTATTTAAAATTTTGAATTCCACCTTTAAAAGCAATATTGGACATAGTATATAATTCTTTTGCAGTTCTATCAGGTATTTTTAGTGTTCTAATACCTCTTGATTAACTAAAAATTTAGTTTTACAACTCTGTTCAAAATATATAGTTTCGCTAGAACATTCAGCAGCATAGAAATAAAAGAATCATCACCTCTTAATGAAACTCATAATTTGAAGGCAGAGATGGTGCCTAAAGATCATTAGGCCTTGGAAAAAGGGAGTAATGAAGAGAGTTATCACTTAAAGGAAGGAAGAGTATGTAAGGAAAATTTTCTACGAAAAATTCAGAAGCCTAACTGTAATCCTCAAACTTGACAATGATAGTTGGAATGAGACCACACTTTGATATCAATCACTTATACATCTATAGATAATACCCTAACATAAAATTACTGTACACAGAGCCTAGCTTCAAATTTTAACAATGATTAAATGTGAGAAATGAGGCTAGGATTGTAGCTCAGTATTAGAGCACTTTCCTGAAAAGTGTGAATGTATTTGGATTTGAAATCGGCAATTAAATAATAAATAAATGTTAGAAAATATGTACATATAGTTCAGAGTTAATTAGATATAAAACTAAAAAACAGATTTCCTTTATAAGAACTTAGTAATTATTGAGCAACAAATAGAATAATTCTTAATAAAAGCATAAAGTTTAAAATTAGAATTAGTAAATATTTATTTGCATGGTACACAGTATGAGCACCCATTCTACATTGTTGGTTGGAATTTAAACTAGTACAAGCTTAATGGAAACAATATAGAGATTCCTCAATAATTCATTTTAACCTGCTATTTCCCTTCCAGGTATCTTGTCAAACAAGTCAAAGACATCATATTGCAGTGATATGTTTATACTCATGTTTATAGTGGCAGAATTCATAGCATTATATCTAAATTTTGGAAGTGGCCTTTGGAGCCATCAACAGATGGATGGTTAAAGAAAATGTGGTGTACATACATAGTGGAAATACACCACTCTACCACCAAGAAGGAAAAACGTGAATTGCTAGAAAAATGAATGTACCATGGTACAATGTTGAGTGAAATAAATCTGAGACACAAACTTACATACTCCATAGTTTCTCTTACACAAGAAATCCATGCAAGTAAAGAGTGAAATAAAAGACAAATAAGAAGTAGGAAGATAGATCTTCCTCAAATAGAAAAGGGTTCAAGAAATGAAGTGGGTGAGAGAAGCAAAAGGGGACGAGAAAAGAAATAAAATGTGTTATGTAATGCACCAACTCCACACAATGAATGCAATCATTATCTAAAGCAAACATATACTAATAAAAATTAAAAAGTGAACCAAAATAAACAATTTGATTATCAAGAAGTCTTACATATAAATAAGAATTAACTTTAGAAAATTTCTGAGTAAGGAAAATTAAATTTGAACACATGAAAAATCGCCCATAATGCTCAATTTATCCTTTTTAAGATAAATGTGACAAGATGTCATTTATATTATTACCAATACATTCAATAATCTAATAAGTATTCAATCGTGTGTGAAAATATGTATGTCTAAATTTATAAGGACAAATAAGCAAACTAATGTTTTAAAGAACTCTGAATCAGTATAGCAAGGTTTAGCATCTTAGCCCAATTTGTTATTTTTTAGTACTAATAAATGAATAGATGCACAAAGTATTGAAAAGGAGGGTAAATTCCAAATTTTTATTCAAATACATATTGCAGTTCAGTAAATTTTGAAATCTCTGTCAGTGATAATGATAATGCAAATTATTTTTTTCAGCTTTAATTGAGTTTATTGGTACATTTTAGGGATACAGTACAGTTACATTCATTGTTGGGATCTTGTACCTCTACATGACAAGTCTTGGTTCTCATTTTTTCCCCTTGTCCCTGCCCTCCCTTCACCCCCTCCTCCCCTCCCCATCTACAAACACTTTATTTCCATCTTTTCATTATCTCACATTTTTTTCTTTTCCCTTATTACCCTTCCCCTACCCATCCCACCTTCCCTACACCTTTAGCTCCTTTCTTCCCATTTCTAAATGTCAGTAATCTTATTAGGATCTTCTGTATTATTGCAGATTATTCACACCAGAGAAACTATTCAGTATTTACACATGGGTGCCTTATTTATTTCACTTAGGAGTATATGTTCGATATGAATCCATTTTCCTATGAATGAATCTATTTTCTTATTCTTTATGGCTGAGTAATTTTCCATTTTATAGAAAAACCACATCTTCTTTATGCAAATTATTTTTTAAATCAATACTTATGAGAAAATAAATTGATTAGAAAAACATAGAAATTCTAAAATCTGCTCATTTTTATGTAAAGTTGGAGTGGAACGGTTATTACTAATCATTTGTAAAGTAGAAACAAAAATGTTCATACAATGGGCTGTATAAAGTTAAAACATCTATAGTATTTTTAGAGAAGCAATCATGATAACTAACTTAAAAATGATAATTGAAATGCATATAACAAAGGATTTAATTTCTGAATCTAATGGTATTTAGGCCACAGTAATAATGAAACAAATAACATCTTAGCAAATTTCCAATAAGATATAAATGGACAGTTCTTAAAATATATAAATGATAGTAAAATCTATGAGCAAGTCCCCAACCCAAACCACAAAGAAAAATATTTTCTCATTTATAGGATTAGCAGATAAGCAAGAGTTAATATCACATTCTATGTATGAAGTTATGGAAAAACAAGCATTGTAAAGCATGACTTCTGGGGAGGAAAAATGGTATAAACATCAACGTGTGAATTTAAAAAATCTAATATAATTAAAGTTGAATTTTACTCTTATTTTGTGCTTTTCTTTATAAAATTTATTCTACTTTTATACTCACATAAATACAATTATTTTTATATATCATTGTGAATTCTGATAATCTTTGCAGTAATCAAATGTACATAAAAATGACATAGACTATATTTTAGGAATCATTTCCTTCTTTCCTTTTTGGTGGTGGGAAGTAAATCCAAGTCCTTCCTGATGCTAAGTACAGTGTCACTGAGCTACACACCTCTTTAACTTGGAATCTTCTAAAATATTCTACCTTTTAAATAGTTATTAGAATACTAAATAGCTGAAAAGGATAAATATCTCTACAATTGTATGGAAATATTTAGGATAATTTTGTGTAGGAAAGCATATAAAATACATGACGTAGAAAATTACAGAATGTTAAAAATATAAAAATTGTTGTATTTTGCTATTAAAATATATTGGAAGAAAACTCCTGACTCTTAAAAAAGTAGCCCCTAGAGGCTTGAGTCAGTAGATAAGGGATAGAAAGAAAAATGGATAGGAATTTTTGTCATGACCTATTCTACACTATTTTATTTTGAGCCAAGTATATGTTTTAGTAATACATGATGTCTTCTAAAAACTAACATTTTAAAAGAAACAACCTTACATATTGGAGACATAATTAAGAGTGGATACTTTAGAGAGTCCCTAAGGATATTAGTGATTATTGAACATTGGCAAAGCATAACTGTGAGTATAGTTACCTAGTGTTTTGCCTCTGTAGTAATAGAAATTGCTCATTTGTCAACTGTATATTGTTTCTAGTACAAGAAAAACCATATTCTTGAGGAGTAATTTGCAGCGTCTTGGTGAGCCCAACTATCATAAATCTCAGCACTTTTCTTAGGCCATCGGTAAGTGATGTGTCACAACCATAGATGAATTCCAATTTATTCTCATGCACATTATTCATGGGGGCTTTTATAATTACTTTAACATTTGGAAGCACATTTTATATAACACTAAGAAAATAACAATGCTACAGGAGTCCACAGACAAATGCCAAAGATGGCAAGGCCCTCCTGATCCAAACCGATAGGTTGCCTGTTTTTACTTAATTTTGACAAATTTTGAATGTCATTCAATCTTCCTCCAACTGGCACTTCATGTTTGGTGTTACTTTTGTACATCCTTGAATTTATCCTAGTATCCTGTGTATCGATCAGGCATCCAGTTAATATTTATAGATTGCTTAACACTAAAATCACATTCCTTCATAGGGATGACCACTAAAGCTCAGGAGGAAATAAGATACAAACTGCTGGTTCATAATTTTTATATATATTTGGATATTTTAAGGCAAAATTGACAATTTATTTATGACAAAAAGGAAATGTATTGCATTCAATTTTGGTCCATGTATTTTCTGAGTTCTTATTTTCATTTTAATGATCAAATTAGCTAGGATTTATCTACATTGTTTTTATTTTCAAACAATCTGATTTTAGTTTTTAATTAACTCACTTAAAATTTTCTTGTTCCTAAATTATTAATTTATGTACATATTTATATTTATAATTTCGTTGTTCTCCTTTCTTTCCATCAATTTGTGATTTTTTTCACAATAATGTAGGTTGAATACCTACACTATGAGACTTTTTTTTCATTGCTACAGTAAATATTTTCTCTGAGCAATACTGTACCTCCATCTCAAGGGGTCAGTAGTTTTTATTACTTTTTTCTAGGCTTGTATTCCTCCTTTTTTCATAACACAAGAGCTGTTTAAAAATTAATTTGTTTTAAATTTCAGATAGGTTATTGTATTCTATTTCTGAAACAGTTAATGATTTCAATTACTGAGTTAAGAACATATTTCTACATTATTTACTGTGGAACATTTAGTTTTTATCTTGTGATAATTATAGTGTACATCCTCCCACATATGTGTGCGAATATCCATACATCTATGTATCCACACATACGCACATCCTCTTAAATCCTCACAGTGATTTGGTTCAATACATTTTCAATTTTTCTTTTTCATCTTTTGTTCACATAGTTAATTTGTGTTTAAATGTATGAGATTAGAGTTTCTTGCATTCAGTTTTTTTTTTTTTTTTTGGTCTATTTCATCCTGTTTCCTGCTTTAAGAAAAATGTTGTTGCCATGCAGTTCCATACGTTTGTGTGTGTGTTTGTAATGTTTAGCAATATAATCCTCAAACTTTCTCTCATGAAATTATCTTGATGTAATTTGACCATATGTGATACAAAGCGCCTTTGCTTTCTTCATCTCTTCAGTTGAAATCCTACATAACTAAGCCTTTTATTTTTAGCTTTCAGAGAGCAGTTAGTTGTCTTTTCTTAATTTAGAGGACAGAATGTTTAATTTTTCTAGGAAGCAGTTTTTAAATTGTAGTCTTCATTTTTGCTTTAAGGTGTGCAAAATACTCATTTAAATTGTTAAGAATTTCCTTTGTCAGTGACTGCTTTGTCCTTTGTCTTCCTATTTTTGCATATTTATATACTCCACTTTCATGATAGTATTAGATGACAGATGACATTAAAAATTATTACACCAAGTTTTTCAAGTAATCTCATTATGTTTTCAGTCTTTCTTTCTTTTTCTTTCATTCTTTTATTTATTTATTTATTTTTCTGGGGTACCAGGGATCGAACTCAGGTCCTTGCACTGGTGAGGCAGACATGATGCTGCTGAGCGACATCCTCCGCCCACTCCTTCCTTATTTCTTAACTTACTTTCCTTTCTAATACACATGTACTTTGTTTCCCTTTAGCAGGGCAGTCCTACCCATGTTACGTCTAAGCATCACTGGCTATAGGAGAAGATGCCTGGGCTTGCCTACCTGTAACGTAAGAAGCTGTCAATGGGGACGTACTGAATATTCAGAGAGGAGAAACTGCTCTCTGACTAAAGACAGATCACTTCTTTCTCCCAACGCAGTCATATGCAGAATCCGGGAAGTTTTACAAGAATACAAATATTTATCTTCAATATAACTATATATCCCATACAAATATCAACTTTGATTGGCAGAGTTCTTTTTTGTTTGAGTCTTAGATCTGACACCGCAGCATGCTTTGGAAGGGTGCGAGAATAGACAACTAAAGAAAAATAGCAATCACACCTTAATTTTTCAAGATATATCTGCAATGTTAACCAAAAGTGAAGCAAGACATTCTTTGTGTAATGTATTCATGTTGCTTTTGAAAAGTCAAAGCTCTATATAGGTCAGTGGTATTATTAGAGTCATTATTGAAGTCGTGGGGTCTATCTAATAAGTAGCATCTTGATGCTGATATTCCCAGGGTGTCTAGACTAGCATTCATAAGTTCCCTCTTGTGCCATCTCACACTGATTTTTTCTTCTTTGCCTGGAAGAATTTAGGGTCACCTTAATGGAATGTGCACTCTGTAGCTCAATAGCCACTAGTGTAAATAGGTAATTTTGAGGAGATTCATGCTGATTAATGATTATGTCTGCAAAGTGGGGAAGACTATTATGTATGCGGGGAGTAAAGGAATCATATGGTTCACAGTGAGTGATTTTGTATGTGATTATGTTGCCTCTGAATTGCTGCTGAATGTTACTAGTATAGATTTTTAACCAAAAGAAACTACAACACAAATTATAAAGTTTTGTGTAATGCTTATTTATTTTGATGCTAATTTTTTCTCTACTGTATCATCTTCAACAATATTCTCCAAATTATTGAATAAACATTTAATGCGTATGCAGTGATAGGCAATAACACAAAATGTGCTGCATAAAGTTAATTTGTATAATGGCTATGAAATCCATGTCTGTATTACAGCACACAATTTTTAACTTTAAAAATACATATCAATGTAATAAAATCAAAATTGCATAATTATTTTGTCAATTTGTCTATATGTACATGTTCATGTGTATGAACGAATGGACCTTAAGTTTTTTCTGAGAAGGCATGCATGTGCACACACTTATTTTTGTATTACAATGTCTTAATAGTCTCATGCTTGTATCTATTTCATCTCCCCCATTCTTTCCCATTCACTTAATCTAGTGACCGATATAAATACATATCATGAATAACTGTAATATAGTTTCTCATGCTTACAGTGCTTTCACTTTTCAATAATGTATTGAAGAAATCTCTCAACAATTGCATAAAGTAATAAAATATATGTTGCAGGAAGATGACTCTATTTCATGTATAGGTATAAATCATCTTTATCTAGATAATTATTCAATATTAATTAGAGATATACATGACACATGAATTACATTATCAAAATACCATATATCTTAGTGTCTTAGTCTGTCTTACATTGCTGTACTAAAATAACTGGTGCTGAGTTCTTTGTAATTAAAGAGGTACATTTGGCGAACGACAGTGAGGATTGTGATATACAAAGATCGAACTTGACTGTGTCACAATATGGCACAAAGAAACACAAAGGGTAACAGTCACATGCAGAGGGGAACAGGCCTGTAGGGGTGTCTGCAAACTATAACAATCAGTTTTTTCTGAGAATGAATCCAGTTTTATGAGACCAGATACACTCCTATAAGACATCATTAATACACGCATGGCTGAGGGGTTCTCATGATCTAATTTCAAAACCAAATTAATCATCAATACTTTCTCTTTCAATTTTTTTATTTATATTTCCTTCAACTGAATAAAGCATGAAAGCAAGACATCAAGAAAGAAAAAGAAGGAGGGAAAGAAAATATTTTATTGATGTTTGTTTCTTTCATTTGGCTATAAATTCTAGCCATGTCAAGCACAGAGCCTGAACAATAGAGTTTTAAAAGACTAATTCTGATTGTGATCTGGGTCCTGGCAGACTGAACAGATTACTGCTCATAAATTTGGGTAATCATCCTAATCAGTAAGTACATTAGGAAATAAGAGGGAACCGCAGAAAATAACTGGAACACAACTTTACCAAGCCAGCCAATAGGTAACCTCAGAAATATTGGTATTTAGGATAAGTGAAGTAACAGAAGTGTTCACTGAACATAAGCATATGAAATCAAACCACCTCTCAAATGCAAGCATACACACACTGAAATTAGCAATCTCAGCATGCTCTCAAGAAGGAAGACTTTGCTACCAGACAGATATACAACATGTGTAGAGGATGACCTGAGTTCTATCAAGAAGGCTCAGCATTTCCAGTTGTTTTAGACATTGCAAGTACAGGGAACCATTTTAGGGACTCCACAGATTGGTTAGGAGGAAGCATTATTGATAAGACAAGAAGCAATGTTAAGAATTGTCTCAGATGCCTAGGTGGGAGAAAAGAAACCCTTATTTTTTTATATCAAGATGCACCAGGGCCAGGCATTTAGCTCAGTTGTTCCACTGCCTGCCCCACAAGTGCAAAATCCAGCGTTTGATCCCCAGTACTAAAAAAAAGAAGGAAAGAAAAAAGTGCAACAGCAACCATATGTCTCCTTGGCGAGGAGGAAGGTACCCTTCCTAAGAGTTAACTTGGGCTTCCGCAGCCTGCTTCACAAGCATACGGTCCTGAGTTCGATCCCGGTACCAAAAAGAAAAGAAAAGTTAACTTGGGCACAGGAGAAGTGTAGCTCTGACATAGCAATTGTGTTTACATTTCCAGAGAAGTAGGAAATGCGTCATAGCCAGGTGACAGAAAACTGAAGCTAAGACAATGCAGTGTTGCCCACAGAGCTACCAGAGGACTAATATGTAATCCCATGTTTTGGCTGGAGTGGTAGCAAATTAGTAGGCAACCAACACCAACAAGTTCTTGCTCACACAGCTAATATAAAACAAACAATGAGTACCAGGACAAAATATTCAGGTCAGAGATAACAACTGTAAATGTATATGCACACACTGAACATGAGGGCACACACTTACACAAAATGTACAACACATGATCTTGAGGGTGCATAAACCCCAATACAGTTTCAGTGGGAGACCTCAATACCACCCACTTTGATGGATAAGTTTAACAGACAAAAAAGACAACATGGGAACTAAAGGGGACATTACCCCTGCAGTGGTCCTGGTCTTCTCCAAGCCAATACAATGTCTGTAGACTGGAAAGTGGGAATTAAAGGAGCACAGACAGAGACTTGAGAGAAACTGAGTCTTGGGCGGATTGAAACTGCTCTGGGCAGCAAAGACAAAGAACTCCCAGGACATCCAATGTTTATTCATTACAAGCGTGGGAAAGGGAAGGTGGGGACACCTGCTGATAGCAATTGTCAAGCAGGCAGGACTGTAGAATGAGGGCACAGCATATCTTTGCTGAACAGAACAAATGGTTAATTCAGAGGGGAAGAATTTAGTTGGAGTCAGTCGACCTTGACTGGGAGTGAACTCAGCCAAGCTTTGCTACTTTCGTTATGGCACAGCGGAATTATGGAGGGGCAAGATTCCTGTGCCATGATAGCCTACTAGTACTGGGCAGAGGGGTCTGCTACAAGGAAAGTCAGAGTTAAATCCCATTATTGTTCAAATGGACCTAACTGACATCTACAGTGTTTCATCTAACAGTTGAAAATGGATTCTTTTCTGCAATCAACTAAACATTTCCTAAAATAAAACATATTTTGGGTCAAAAAGCAAATCAATAAACACAAAAGTTGAAATATTATGTACCTATTAGATCACAGTGTAATGAAACTCAAAATCATCATCCAAAGAAATGAGAAAAATTATACAAACACATGGAGATTGATAAAGTTCTAAATGATCAGTGGATTATTGCAAAAATTGGAACATAAATTTAAAATTCCTGGAATCTAATGATAATAAAAACAGAATATACCGAAATCTGTTGGATATAATGAAAGCACTTCTTCAAAGGCAGTTTATAGATATGAATAATTACACTCAAAAAACAGAAATCCCAAATACATAACCTAATGATGCATTTCAAAGTCATAGAATAAAAACGAGAAATAGCCCCAAATCAGAGGAAGCAAATAAATAAATGATAAAGCTCAAAACAGAAGTAAATTAAATAAAGAGTAAAAGGATAATACAAAGAACCAATGAATACAATACAGTAGTTTGTTTTCAGAAAGGATATATACCTTTAACAAACTTATCAAAGAGATAAAATAAAATTAATAAAATTAGATATGAAAGTGAAAAATTATAGCACACCACTTAAATTCAGAAGTTATTACAATGTTTCAAATCTTATATTTCAACGAGTTGGAAAAATCTTGAAGAAATAGATAAATTCCTAAATACTTTTGATTTCCAAAAGTTGAAGAAAGATGTTTTTCTTCTCCATGTCTATTTTTGTACCAGAACTATGTTGTTTATTACAAAAGCTTTGTAGTATAACTTGAAATCATGGGCTGTGAATGTCTCCAACATTTTTGTTCTGGCTTAGAAATGTTTTAGATACTGTAGGTCATCTTTTCATCCATATGAATTAGGTATCACTTTCTCTAGTTTTGTGGATAATGTTTTTGATATTTTAACAGGGATCACTTTGATTCTGTAGATCACTTTTGGTTGTATGGCTATTTTAATAATAATAATAAATATTGATTTATGAGCAAAGGGTTCTTTATATTTTCTAGTATTTTGTTAAATTTCTGTAATCAGTGTTCTATGCATTTATTAATGACATTTCACCTCCTCATTTAAGTTGGGGCTTTTAAAAACTTTTTAAACTACTGTGAATTGAATTGTTGTTTCTGGTTTCTCAATGGGTTCATTATTGGAGAATAAAAATCTGATGGTTTTTGTTGGTTTTGTATCCTGCCCTTTTGATAAATTTGTTTAATATATTTCTGCACAAGCATCAATAGAAAATGAACAACAATAGGCAAATAGAAACAACAAAAACGGTTTCAAAACATAAACACATACAAAATAACAAAGTCTAGATAATTTAGCATGATAAAGCATATATTGTTTTACATTGGTGCCGGTGGATTTTAATGCTGTGCTGATGAACATTACTTTAGTTCACATTATG